CCTGCGTGCAAAAGAACCGGACCCACGGAGCCTAGCAAACTTCGTGTGAGTCTATTCAGAGCTCTTTCGGACGAGTGCTTTCTTCGGTTGACACGACGGGCTCGCGGTTTAGAGCCTCCAACCAGATTGGGCTAGAGTTCGCGAGTTTAGAACTCTTGTCCGCCTCTCTTCTTTCCTGTCTGTAACCGCAACTCAAGCAAGTTTTCCAGCCTGCACCGCAACCATCTCCGGTGTAAGTAAACAATCTTTAAATCTACCGCTACGAGTCTGTGCCTAATTCTAGCTTGTCGCGCCCCTCTCTCCGACCCCACATTCCCGGGCTGCTAGCCACAGCCCGCGTGCAGCACGAAAAAGGGCTCGGCTCATGCCCGGCCCGCACAGGAAGAAAGCTGTAGTTTTATAAAGCGAACCAATGAACACTTCAGGTTAACTGGTGTTGCTAATGACATCTGGAAGCTTTTGAGAGAGATCTCAAGCAGAAAAAGATCATTACATTACCTTGCTTGGTGAGAGAAAAACATTTTAACCCAGGGACACTCGTTAAACAGGTTTTGTTCTCTTTCTTTCTAGTTCTCAAAGATGAAGTGATATCAAATAAAGTTCCAGTCCCTGTAGTGCAGTGATTAGGAGTGTGTGAAGTGGACCATATTCAATTTGGATTCAGCATGAATTGGGGACAGTGATTTGATTAGTTGATTCAGATCACTGTCCCCGACTCTATTCGGCTGAATCTGAAGAGTCGATGCTGATTCAGAGAATCAGCGATTTGGCCATAGACACAGCTCTAAACGTTTTTTTTTTTTTTCCTACATACCTCGAGGTACCACTGCAGCTCTTGAATGCTGCAGTGCTGGGGCGGATGGAGCATCTCACAGGAGTGTGGGGAGGGGCCCACATGCTCAGCAACGAACCTGGAAGTGGGACACTTACAGGTCTGCCAGGGAGTGAGTGGGGGGCCTGCCCCCATGCCCCTGGCTCAGCAATCAGTTGCTGGGGGACCCGGGTGACACCCCCCCCCTCCCCCCCGCCGACCAAGGAGGCACCAGTACCGATGGGTAAAAAGTGAGAGAAATGGGTGTATTTTTTCTGCATTGTTAGAATTGGACACGTATTGTATAAAAGTGTATGGTGGGATTTATCTTGGTGGTACATCATTTTTATATTTGTCACTAGTTTCTTCTTTTGACCTACATAAACAAAAATTCTACTTTAAAAGTATAATTCACATGCTTAATTTTTTTGTTTGTTTTGCTTTTCACCATTCATGCAGTACAAAAATAACCATGGCATGTTGCCTTTTACTAAATTCAGCTAGAGTAATAGTTAGCTCCACACATTTTGAATTTTGTAAAAAAAACAAAAACAAAAAAAAAAACCGGGCAAACCCAGCTACCCCTGTATATAAATAAATTCTTAAATACATGAACAAAGAGAGGTTATACATTTTTACCATAGACCTTCATCTTGTTTTAATTTAGCTATGTGTATTACTACCTTATTTTATTGAGAATGTGAACAGTTAATTCCCTAAGCTTTAGAGTTCTGACGCTCAAAACTTTTTAAGTACTTTCAGAAACAGATTAGTCATGTGAAGTTTTGTTAGAATTTTGTGGTTACATAGTGTTATTTTGCAACACTACTGTGGACCTTGCTGTTTGTTCTTAAGTGTAAGTAGCTTTGTACTCTCTTCTTTTTTTTCCTCCACTGCAGGGCAGGTATATGTAACTCTGTATGCTAAAGGTTTTTTCCAACTTCGTGCTTGATCATTGTAAGTAATTCAACACTGACTTTTTGTTTTTTGACTTGCATTTAGAATTAAATTGATTTAAGTTGGGGCATGCAGATGCCTAAAATACTTTATATTAGTGTTGGTATATCTGTATCAGCAGCTGTTTGTGGTTTTCAGTAGCAAATAGAATTCCATTCTAGCTTTAAAGGAGTGTCTGTAGTAGATGAAGCAAAAAAACAACAACACAGGTTTTATATGGTATCCCTTTTTAAACTCTTTGTTTCTTGTTCTTTTCTAAACTTATTATTTTCTGTTGATTTAGAAATGTCATACTTCTATCCTGTTCAGTTCAGCATTCAAGTTTATACAGTCTTTTTGGTAAAATGTCAGACTTCCTGAGCAACTTCTTTCCTTTGGCATAGAAATATTTTTCTACTTATAGAAAGTCTGTTGGATGTGTGTTGGAATTGTTTCAGTGCCTTAAAGTATTATCCAAGAAGACTGATATCTGATTAGATCATTAAATGCTAGGCTAGCAGGTAGCTAGCCTGTGGTGACTTGGGTTGGTTGGTTTGTTTGTTTGTTGTGGGGGGGTTCTTTTCTAAAACTAACTTTTTATTTTAAACTTAACCTTTGCCAGAGAAGTGCGAGTTTTATACAAATCAGTTATTCATAGTTTACATCTCAAGTCAAATTCATACCAATCTTGGTTTACTACTGAATTTGGCAAAGACATTTTGGTTGGGGTTGTAATTTCTTTTTTCATAGTACATCAAATATAGGATATTTTGTTTATTTGTTCATTTATTTTAAAGCCTCTTACAGAAGATATACTTAAGATTGGGGGGAGGGGAGAGAAATATTCATACATGTTACTCACATTGATATAACATGAAGTAGACACATTGGAAGGAGTCCAGCAAAGATTAGCACAATTTATTAGAGATCTAGAAACTGTGATGTGCAAGTTAAATTGAAAAAAAACTGGGATTATTTAACCTGGGGAAAAGAAGGGGAGAGGGGATTTGATAAATCTTTATATTTTAAGGTTGTTAGAAAGCAGGGGCATCAACTTCATTTGGGGTCCCAGGCCAGATCTGGACCATGGGGCTCCTCACAGGCTGGATTCAAACCTGGGGCATGAAGGGTGCCACTGTGGTCATCATGGTGGGGCTGGGGGCAGCATCAGGTTCAGTGAACTAATCTTACCATTGATGGCCACACTCCATGGGGCCAAAGGGCTGAACTTCCAGTGCCCTCTAGTAGCCCGGTGGGCCAGATAGAGAGGTTCTGTGACTTGAATCCGGCCTGTGTGTTTGTATGTTTGGCACCACTGGGTGCTTCCAGATGAGTGTACCTGTGAGTTTCCCTGGGGACAAATAGCAGCAGCACATAGTTGTGCTACTGCTTGTTGTCCCCAGGGCATGTCTGTTCATACATGCCCTGGCATGTGGTGAGTTGCCCCAGGTCGGGTAGAGGAGGCTGGGGTCAGCACCTGAGCTGGTCCCTACAGCCTTACCTGGGACCCTCCCAGGTCTCCAGCAATGATGATCTGACAGCAGAGAGCTTGGCTGGCTGGCAGCTGGAATATGGCTTCTGCTGGCCAGGCTCCACTTTCAGGCAGCGCACGTTGCCGCCACGTGTGCCACCCTGCTTTTTTCTAGTGCGGGTATTTTTGACACCAGGATCTCTGGGTTTTAACCCCCACCCCACCTCCGCACCCCTCAATGCTGTAAATTAGCAGTGCAGGGAATGCCCACATTTGTGGCACTGCAGACATGTCTGAGGCACTGTATACTGCACATGCGAGTTTGTCTGGACTCATCCCCTGCACTAAAAAGAACGGTGGTAAAAAGAATGGTAGACTCTCCTCTGGACCCAGGGTCAGAACAAGGAGTAATGATCTTGAATTGCACTTAGGGAAATTTAGGAAGAACTTTCAAACTGAGGGTGGTTAAATATGGGAACATACTCTTGGAAAGGGCATGGGAAAACATCCATCATTGGAAGCTTTAAGAGCAAGGTAAATAACTTGAAGGGGTGGTGGTTTAAATAGGGATGATCCTCTTTTGAGTGTGGGTGGAGAGGGGTAGACTACATGAGTTCTTGCTATGCAGTTTAACTCTCTTCTTTTCTATGATTCTCTTTCTCCCTATTTTTTACACTATAGTAAATGTACTACAGCCATATTAATTGTGACAGAAAAAGAAGCAAGAGATGCCAGGGGTATGACAGCATGATATTGTTAGTTACAAATCTTGCATGAAATTGTTGTTTCACCGTGCCGTGGTTCTGTCCTGTGCCCCACCGCGGTTGGGCAGTGCCTGCCCCAGCCCCACTCCCTCCCTCACCATGGGAGGCCTCGATCTTTACCCCCATGCCCCTTCCCTCTACCTTCCCCATTCACCACAACAGACTTACCAGCTGCACGCAGCTCTCCAGGCTGCCGGACTGTGCTCATCGCTGCCTACATGCTGCATTGCAGCTGCACGCATGCATGGGCCATTTATCGGCCAAATTATTGGCTACATCAGGCCAATCTCCAATACAGACAACTTGCTTTATATTGGTGCCAGTCTGATATTGGACCAATGTATCGGTGCACCTCTATAAGTGAGTGGAAAAAATGAATCTGTTTAGGGACTTTTGCCATATTCATCTCTTAAACATATATTGAAATGTGGAAGGCTTGTGAATTTTCATAGTTATGGCATGAAGTCACAATGTAGAACTATATTTTGTTTCTGCTTGCTTGGAAACTTAACATAGGTTACCAAGTCAGACATTTCTCATATGTTACCACCATCAATCACAGGTTTAAAATACTTGTGTGATAAACAGGCATTTTTCATCGAGATGAGAAGTGAGAGGATGCCAGTCAGTTTTACTCCAATATTCTTGGTGGGCAGTACCATGTGTCGAACATAATTAATGGTTCACTGAATATTTTAACATTGATGTAAAAATATTCACATAGCAAAATTATACTATGAGTACAATTTTACTATTTTTTTTTTTTTTTTTTTTATTTCAGAAGAAAAGCCAAAGCTAAAGCTCCACTTCCTCCACCTGAACCAAAAAACTTGGAAATTCCTTCGTTGGATGAGGCAGAACTAACTAATTTTACCATGGAACAGAAAGAGAATATAATTGATAAAGACATTGAATTATCTGTGGTTCTTCCAGGGGATGTGATTAAATCTACTACTGTTAATGGCAGGTATGTTGCATGGAAAATAATTTTGGGGATGGAAAAAGTTTAGTTTCTATGGGTTATAGCTGCATTTTTTTAAAATAATTCATACGGCACTTCAAGCCTTACTTTTAAACAGGGACCAATGTAGATCTTATGATGCTCTTATGAAGGTTACTTTTGGGGGCCAGAAATCCAAGGTAGTTTTGCACATCTTACTGCTATTTTAGAGAGCAATAGGGGCAACCTTTTTGCCAGACATGCCACAAGGTACAAATCTTTTCAACACAACTCGCATACTACTTCCACTACTACTGCAGTATGCAGTCTAATCCTAGAAACTTTCTGCCCTGCCTATCCATCCTTATTTAGGACAAAAAGACTTTGATGCTTTTGAAATCTAACTTTTAAGAGAGACAGTTATTAACCAAGCTTTGCAATAACAAGCCAAATGGAAAATAGAATGTGCTGCATAATCAAGTGTTTGTGTGTGTGTGTGTGTTCTCTGAACGTGGTCTGACTCGGATAGCTGTGGAAATTGTCGGCTCTTGTTAAATCTAGAAACCTTGGCATTCTAAAACAAACCATAAACTTTCTGTCATCTCAATTCCTTCTCATAGGTCTTGCAGGAAATATGCCTGTTGCATGTTTTGTAGTAGCTTTTAAAGTGTGTTTTGTTTGTTTGTTTTGTTTTGTTTTGTTTTGTTTTTTTTAGAAAGCTTCTTGCTTTCTATGTGCCAAGCATATGTATTAGTTTGAAACTGTGTGGTCCCTTTGTTTCTGCCATTGGAAGTCAGCTGTTTGTTATGCAGTAGTAAAAAGAAACAAGCAAAACTTATCCACTTTGTTATTTAATGAGAGATTAATCTGAGTATGGCATGATCTCCTCTAGGCAGTCTCTCCCTTCCATATAACAGGTAACTAAACAATAAATACGTCATTTTTTTTCCCTAGTCTGAGATGAGTTCTGTGCTTGTTCTAAGCCCTTTGCTTATTTTGCCGCCTCTTTTTTTTTTTTTTATTAGAGGCAATGTTTTTAATTTAGTACACATTCACTGTAATCTGCTTCTCGAGACCTGAATACCAAGAGTCTTTAATCTTGACCTATAGCCAACAGGTATTTAATGTAGAAAATTCGGCTCGGCTAAATAGTTCATTAGTAAAAGACAAAAATGGCATGCTATGACTTCTTATCACAGCTGTTTCCTCATGTCAGAAATCTGCCCCAGAAGTAACTGCTTAAGGATATGTATTTATATCCTACCTGTTGTTAACCAAAGGACTATATTAAAAGGTTCTGTTCCTTAAAGATAAACCAATATACTTGTTATAAGCACTGTACCCCAAACATAACAAACAGTTTTACTTACACTAACTTACATGATGGGAAGCCCCAGTTTTCAATATTGGTAGAGCCATCTTTGCTGTCTATTCTCTGACTTAGGATCTTACAATTGCCTTGGGTTAGTAGAACAAACCTTTATGTAAATTACTCAAAATGAAGTTCATTAAACATCTATATTAAGTATTTTAAAGCAAGACCATCTGAATGTTTCAAATGAAGTGTTTTATAACACTTTTATGACATGTGGCTACATGCTATTTCTTCAGCTTTCCTGGTTAAACTCTGTTATTCAAAACAAATTATTCAGTGTCTGGTCTAGTCTGGTCTAGTGATACTTAAAACCAGACAGGATCACAATCCACCTGACCAGAATGATGCTCCAACTGTATAATTTCTGTTGGCTGATGAATTTCTCCTTAACCCTGAATGGGAAAAAGAGAAGATGAGAGTACACAAAGTAGCTCTTTCAATACATGCACTAAACTGTTCCGATGGGGGAATGTTAAAAGGACTTGATTTTTCCAAAATGCTTTTTCTTTAATTACACCTTTTTAAGCTTAACCTGGAGACCAGAGTGATTGCAGCTCCTTGAATAGAACAAAATGTTTACCTGTTTCTCTGGACACTACAGGCTGATGGAAAGGCCTTTAAATGTGTAAATACATAATCATAGACAATATTCAGATAGGGAAAACTTATAGGGCTTAACACAAAAGAGGACCTACAAAGAGCGACCTAGCATATGTGAGGATGGCAGGGCCTTGTTCATGCTATATGCAACATTTGACTATGTGGGGATTCAGGTTACAAATTGCTGCTTTGTAAAATATATGTGAAGATTTTTGTGTTTGTTTTTTCCAAAACAATGGTAATCAGTTTAGCAAATCAGCTACCTTTTTCTTATGCGTGACTGTTTCAATAATAAAGAGAGTCGGAAGATGGAAAAAATATTTCTTTTCTGTTAAAGCTTTGCTTCATTAAAATGCCTCTTTTAAACAGTGCTACAGTGTCATGTACAGCTCCTGCTTTGTGTGTGGGGGTTTGTTTTGTTTTTAAACAAAAATGTACATATGGACTCTGCTTTCTGACCTGCTAAGTTTCATCTGTAACTTGGCATGTTGACACAATGTGCCTTGTCTCTGTTGTGACACTGGCCATTCTTTAACTACCAGAGATGTATGTATTAAAATAGCAAGAGGCCTCAGTTAAGCAATTCTATCTTTATTTTGTTATGAAATGATGGTTGAAAAGGTGTTGGGGAGGTAGCAGTTGAAAATAAAGTTTACTTCTGGAAAAGCAAGAGTTACAAGACACCAAAACAGCAATTCAGCCGTGCGGGGTGGGGGTGGAGCAGAGAAATTATGGTGGGGCAGTCATAGTGGATTATTTGGCTTTTTCAAATCGTTTTTTAAATATTTAAGGTTTTGACTCCCCTTTTGCCCTCACTTTTTACTCATTGCTGTTCCCCAGCATAGTGAAAGTTACCCAGATAGTGTTAGAGGAAGATGCTTTTCTCCCTAGGCCACTTGTGCTGGCAATAACCACTGCAATGGAGGTATGAAAGCTTTCTTTTGTTCTCCTTTGTACATCCATTGCCTTTTGAAACAAGAGCTTTTACTCTAAGTGCTCTTTCCCTTATTTTGAGTAGATAAAAGATTTTTTTTCCTCTAATAGAGCAAAAAGAAAGAGTTAAAGCTTTCTTTAGAATTCATTCTTTAGAAATTGGAGGTGTGCTTCTACTGTCTTCTGTCCAGGTGCCACAGACCAGAATAAACTCGGGGAAGAAACAGTGCCTTTCTATAAAGTTTTATGCGTTTAAATGATCTTGAAGTTTTATGAATTTTAAAATCCATAATGCAACATTCACTTACAAAACAAACAAAAACAATCCTCCCATTGTTCTCTCCCTATCCTTGTTGTCCCTTGTCTCCTCCCTCCCTCCACGCCCTCGGACCCAAGATACAGTCAGGTATGCCTTTGAGAGCACACTCCTGGGGTATTCTTACCGATGCAGTTGTGTCCTTCAACCCCAAGCTCCTCTCTGCCATCTACTTCTTGACCACTTAGAGTCTGAGATTTATACTTCACAGATCACTTCCTTGAGCAATGGCGCCTCAACTTTACCTGTCTCACCTAGGTCTTGCCAGCTCTTTGCCAGCTGGAAGAATTGCATCTTTTTCCAATCGTGTGTTCAAAAATAATAGATTTCTGCCCCCCTGCCCCCGGCAATCCTCTTCCTTGGAGGAGGCCTGTCTGTATCGTCAAATTCTCTGAAATCACTGATAACAGTAAGTTATAAAAGATAACAAAAACTTATTATAATAACAAGAGCAGGCATAAGAAATCAGTAAACATATGCTGAGATACAGACAAAGATGTAAGAATAAACAAATAAAATGAAATATCAGAACAATCTGATCTTATCCTACATCTCAAACCTAAGAATGTGGCTTTTACTAAGCTCAACAGGTTAAAAGAAGTTCCTGCCTCTAATCTTCCTGTCAGCCTGCTTCAGAGAGGCCACTAGCTAAGGGCCTAGAGTTATTAGCTATGCTTGAGAACAAACTAATGACAAACTATTGCCTATAATTTCTTATCTCCAAAGGGTGTATTTGTTTACCAGACCTGAAGTCTTCCCTGCTTCAGTTATGATCAGAAAAATATCCTGCATTCTTTCAGATATAAAGATTTAATGCCCTAAAGATACTGTATCCTCTCATTTAATTTCCCCAATGTGAAAAATGTCCTTCCCTGAATAACTTGTTCTTGGGTGTTTAGTTTTGTGTCTCTTCTTTAAAAGATGCAAATTCACAATTGCCTGAAAGGGCCTGGCTCATGTGCCTCGAGCCACATCCACAAGGGCCTGTCTTATTGGCTATTTAAACCATTGGCCAAGCCAGAAGCTAATTCTCTCCTATTCATACTTGAAAGTATGAAGGAATGCTTAATTAATCATTGCACAGGCAAACTGTCTTGGCCAAACTATGAAATACAAATTTCCATTCATATCTATGAATTGCAGTATTTTATATAATAGTAGGCCTAAGCACAGCTTAGTCTCTACATATATGTAACACCACACATATTGTATCAATTAAACTAAAAAAACCCATGCATGACATTCCTTGAACATTTCAAAATATCATAGGTTTGTGACATACTTCCTGCCCTGCACTCCCAACAAAACCCTCTTACCACTGCTATCACTTGGTATTGGCTAAACAAAGACCGGTCTTTCTTTGCATCATGTCTGTGAGGATGAACTTAACTGATCTTGTACATTAAAAATCCTATTCACAGTTGTCTCCAGGATACACAATTCTAGACAGTGCCAGAAAGTCTGTTCAGTTAAATGACTACTTTAGGAATGTGTGAAAATTCCAACTTTAGTTAAGTAACCCACATTTGATACACTGCTGAAGCCATTAATAAGTGAACCTCTTCACTACTGGTTGGGTGCATCTACACAAGATAATTACTGAGGAGTTGCCCAGTTAGCTCCACAATAAATGTCTCAGCATCTACATGTGCAGCCGTATTTGGCTGCAGGAAACTAATAAACACTGCAGCAGTTGAGTACTTGTAAATACAAGTACTATCCTGCTGTAGAGTTTTTTTTTTCATGCACAGGAACAGGCATGTAGACGCTGACCCAGCTGAGAGTGCTTCAGTACAGAGGCTGCCTGCTGACTAGCTGCACACTAGAGCACCCTCGTGCCGCCACCAGCCCCTCCACACAACGTCAAGCCAGCTTGAAACAGCCCCAGGCTGGTAGACTAACCCTCCCCACCTGGGCTCCTTGTCAGCCAGGGTCCTGGCTCAGTATGCTGTAGTTCTGGGTGAACATTCAAATGGTGTGCTCAGGAGACATAAACAATGGCGCAATATGTGCCACAGTTTATTGATTCACATTAATTGCACGTGTAGATACATTCATTACGTAGTAATCCAGTGCCGAGTAGATGGACCACAGCCTTTCCATTTCTTGCACAAATATAGGATTAATCAAAAAAAAAGTAAAGAGTGCTGCAGTTTCAGAAACGAATGCTAAATTTAGGGCAAGTCCAAATTAAAGGTTTCCCTTGCAATGTGAATTAGCTCTTCATCTTTATGCGTTTATAATGTTATTTCATAGGCCACATATGGACATTTCATTATCTCCTGGGAGAGATGCTGCTCTCCCAGGAAAACCTGTGAGTGTACAGATATTTAGGATTTTTCTCTCAGAGCAAAAATGGCCACTCCAGGAGAAAAAAATGAAACAAGAAGCATCTCAGCTTAAATTGTTCCTAGGAGAGCTGCTGTGCCCAGTCTCATACCTCACATCAGATATCCAGAGCAGTAAGTGGCCACCTATATGGCTTATATAATTTATCCAACCTTACACAGGAGTTCTCCAGCAGAGTCAATGATGGAATACAGTTTTTTCCAGAATGGTATTCAGTTGTCTAAAGTGTAAGATCATTCTTTTTTTTTCTTCCTGCTCTTCACTTTCTCATTCACTACTTGAATATTAACTTCTGCAACAAATGAAAAAAAATATACATTTACTAGACTATCTTGATTCATCCATAGAGCATCATCTACCTTGTACACTGAATGATATGACTTCTGGGGAAAATGTGTGTGTGTTCACAGTCTCCCTGTGAATGATTTATTGTATTCCTGAATTAAATATGCAAGGCAGCCCTAAGGCACTCCCCAATTTCTCTGTGTTTGGACTCTGTAGTGTTAAAGTTCATTTAATATTCTTCTTTGTTTACTTTCTTTACGTACAGTATGTAAAAGCTCATCTGATATATCTTTGCTCTCTGTGAATGAGATTTCTTAGACTCCATTTGGAAATATTTTGAGAGAGAGAACACATTTTAATTCTGAACTGGAAAATTTAAAACAAGCTGAATCCTTGGGCAGGCAGAGAATTAATACTTGTGTTTCCTACCAAAATAGTTTTATGTATATACAGGTCATTTAAGGTTAAGTAGTTTGAAATAATAGCTTCAGTATGTGCCAGGCCAGGCCAGCTTTGGGAATGTATGCATCGGTACAATGTATGAATCGCTACAAATACGTTCGCAAAATTGTTCTGTATTAGACTGTGTTTTTTATGACCCTCAAAATAGCATGTGTACCTGTGCATTTTTTTTCCCTGTACTTTTATCCTCTGTGTACAAATTGGATATCTTACTTCTCTCAATGATCATGCTTTTGGCACTCTTCCCTCTCTCTCTCCCCGCCCCCCGACTTCTTCACAGTATTTACAAAACTAAAGAACAGAATCAAAAGACATACCTTTTGCCAATGTTCAGAAAAATATTCTTTGGTTTGCATAATAATAATCCTATAGGAAAATAACGTTATATGTTTTCCTTTCTTACAGGAAACCCATGATGGACTTGCTGATTTTTCTGTGTGCACAGTATCATTTAAATCCATCAAGCTATACTATAGATCTGATGTCAGCAGAGAACAGCCAGATAAAATTCAAGCCTAATACACCAGTTGGAATGCTTGAAGTAGAAAAGGTGATTTTAAAGCCAAAGCTTTTGGATAAGAAGAAACCTGCTCCTATGATTCCAGAGGTGAGAACTAACATGTGAACTACATGAATGTTTAATTTACCAGCAGAAGACAAAATCCTTCATAAAGGTTTGCCTGCTGATGCCAGAATGTAGTGTTGCATGGGAATCATAACTTCAGTCCATAGCTCCAGGATGATTTTTTGGATTTTTAATGATTTGGGGAAGTTGACATTTTGAGTCTAATATTTTTCTTGGCTGTGCATAGCACTGGCCCACTTTTACATATTATAGGTATGCCACAGTTACGATATATGCCATATATATTTAACATATTACTACATGTTAAGGGTGCTGCATGAGCACCCAGTCTAAGGCTCCATAAAATGGGAAGCCAGCGATAAGTGTTCTAAATAAAATGTACACCTGTATTTCTATGGCTGGTTTGTACAGTTCCTTAAATTGAACACATGGAGGGGTCAGGTCTGGGGCTGACCAGTTGGCCGAATTGTCTTCCCTGGCCCCAGACTTGTGGGACCCAGCTTTCAACTTTGATCGTGATCTTGGGTGCCCTGCCTTGCACTAGCAAGTAGAAAGGACATGATTGTGATCTGATTTCCCCAAACCCACATCAGCTTTCTGTGTAAACAAAGGTATTCCTTATTTTCTGGGAAACAAGATTTTATAAACCTCAGGAAAAAATCTAATTGAGTAAAGTTGTTACATATTTCTGAAATGGATAACAATGTATAAAATAAATTGGAAAGAATGCCCTTCTCCTTCCATTTCCCTCCCCCTATCTTCTTCATTCTATCTTCAGAATACAAATCAACACAGAGTCAGAATTGATGCTTTGGATTGGTGTTCTTCTTGAATGTAAATAAATCTGCTCAAACCTCTTTTATATAGAGCTCCCTTTAATGATGCAGAATTTCATTTAATGTAGTTAAAGCTATAAGAAAACAATTTTTTATGGGGAAGCTTCTGTGGTTGCTGAAAAAATCTGTGAAAGGATTTTGGGCTGTTTATATTGGTGTCCTTAAACACAGCTTATTGGAGTTTTTTTCTTTCTTCAGCAAACGGTGAGAGTAGTTGTAAATTATAAGAAAACACAGAAGACTGTAATAAGAGTTAGTCCACATGCACCTCTTCAAGAACTCACACTGATTATCTGTAGCAAATGTGAGTTTGATCCTTTACACACTGTATTGCTGAAAAACTACCAGTCACAAGAGCCCCTTGACATGACAAAATCTCTTAATGACCTTGGACTAAGGGAACTATATGCAATGGATGTCAGTAGAGGTAAGACATCTTTTTTATTTTGCTTTTCAATAAATTGTATACCTAGAACATTTTGCTTCTGAAAAACCTAAATATTTAAAATTTGTGTGGTCTAAACAAAATAAATCTCCTTATAGTTAGTGTGGGCAGATGTAGTTAATTCTGTAATGGAACTGAAATCATGGCTGCCAATGACTAGTTTTCCAAAACTTTTGATTTAGGGCATGACTTATATACAAGCTGTGTTTTGGAGAAGAATGCAAGGATGAGACAACTAAATGCATATATCATGTTATTGGCAGGGGCTCCTTTAAAAAAAAACAAAAATAATCTTGACAATTTGCTGAAAACTCAATGTCTTCTTAAAGAGGAATAAGTCATAGTCAATGTAGGAAATAAATAGAATTTATTACCCTGCAAGGTCAGAGAAATTGCCCACCCTATTTTAAAGAAATGATGCTTATCAATGTATGTGTACACTTAAAAGTGTTCAGATTGTTTGGTTCATTAAGGCTTGTGGAGTAAGAGCTATTATCCCCATTTTAATGACGGTCACACTTAAATGCCAGGCTGTTAAGTGACCTGATTTTCCTGGCACAGATCTGCTCTCTCTTACTTATAAATGTCCTCTGTAATAATGCCCTATTTAAATCAGAGTAAGTTTTACCATGCCTACTAAAAATTAGACTGTGTTCTGAGCAGCTGCACAGGAGGGCTGTGCGAAGCTTCAGTAGCAGATTCAATTCAGAGGTGATTCTGGCCCGAGTAGGTGGCCGAATCTCCAAATCTGAATTGAATCAGGAGACCCATTAAAAGGTCCAAATCGAATCGGAAGCCTTCAAATCTATTTGGAGATACAGACAGCAGTTCTTAATGATGCTGGACACAGCTGCCTCCAGCTGGTAAGTCTGTGGTGGAGAGAGGAGGGAAGGGGTGTGGTGGAGGGACAGATCAAGGCCTCCACAGTGAGGTAGGGATTTGGGCTGCGACAAGGTGCCCACCCAGGGAGGGGAGGGCCCATGGGACTTGGGGAGGAGGGCTCCCACCACTGCGCACTGGCGGTCTGGGAGCTGCTCCAGAGGCTCTCGCTGCCCCATGAGAGTGGGCATGTTCCCCCGGATCTGCTCAGGGCAGGTGGAGCACCTCATGATCTGATCTCCCCATGCCCCTTCCCTCCCCGCTCCCCCCCCACCACAACAGACTTACCAGCTGGAGGCAGCTGTGTCTGGCGTTGTCAAGGACTGCTGCCTGTATAGTCTATAGTCAAATCTCCGAATCGGCGCCAAATCTCTGAAGCCGAATTGGCCAAATCAAATTGCTGTCCCTCCAAATCGGCTGAATCCGAAGCAAATACTTGCTGCTTCACGCAGGCCTAGTGCACAGTAATGCTTAACTATGGTCTCGGTCCACTCTGGGGTTAGAGCTGGCTGTGCTCCCTGACACTGATTCTGTCATTGGGCATTGCAGCTCTCATGTCTGCATTTTTGAGGCCGTGCAGCACTCATGCCCAGAGCTCCCAGCCTGCCTACCACGTGACCCTGGCATGTTGGAGCAAGCTAGTTCTCTGCTGTGGACAGAGGGAGGCACAAGGAGCCGACCTTGGAAGAAGGTGTTGTTCCTGCTACTGGATCCTCAGGGCAAGTCTGGTTTCTGCTGCTGACAGTCTTGAACTGGCTGACCCGCAGTGTGGAGGCTGGGACTGACAATCAGCTGAATCGCAACAGAACTTTAAATTTGTATTGACTCCCATGATAGCTGAATACATGTTACTTAATATGATCTGGAGATGCAACTTTTCACAGAAGGAGTAACTTTGCTTTGATATGATAGCACTTAGCATGTGTTTTACTGTTTAAAATGTGGGCACTCATGTTTTAAGTGCAGTTAACATGTCCTGTGTAATGTGCGATATGGCTCTGAATCACAAGCCAGTCTTTTATGGAAGACTTGTTGCTGCAAACTTCCATTCCATTTTTTTGTAGTTCTCTTCGATGTATGTTCTCAGATTTTACTCCAACATGTCTGTTCAGTATTGGCTCCTGCAATTCAGTTATCTTCCTTAGACTCCAGAGCTCTTTATACCTTTTTTTTATTTGTATCCCTGCCTTTTGGCTTAAAGACAGTTTTCTCCTCATTTTGCTATAGCCTTATCATTTAGTATGTTTTTTTTTTTAATGGTATTTATTAAAAAAGTAATGTGTGTGTTTTAAAAACAGCTGGCCCAAAATACTACAATTAAAGCAATAGTTTACTTGTGTGAGAATTTTCCATAGCATCCTTTTTCTGATGGAGTGATGGAATAAAAATGTGAAATAGCAGGGGGAATGTAGAAACTGGCACAAAAATCGTGTTAATTGGAGAAAACTCAACTGAAATTTTTATTTTGGTTCAAGTTAATCTGAAATCAGAATGTGTTTTTTGTTTTGTTTTTAGCTTGCCTAAAATGTCTACTTTTACCAAGTTCAGCAGTGCACCATATGAAAAAAACAGAAGCCTTATACCACTTTTCAGTTCTTGTTCACTTCAGTGGGAGTCTGAAGAGGATTACATCTAAGTTTATTGTTTCTTACAAATATGGTTGAACAGCATAGGAGTCATTACTAAAATCATTATGAGTGACATATGTCTGGCCAAAGATCCTGTCCCATATGAAAGAATGAGGGCTGAGACTATAGCTGTTGCAATATAATGAACCAGAAGGAAATGTGGCTCAAAGTTGAAATAATTAGAAACACTTTTTAAAATCAAAAGTTTTCAAAATTTTCCATTCCATTGAAAAATATTGAGACTTTTTTCATCATCCATTTTGAATGAAAATAAAAGTCCCTCTCTTCAATTTATCTCACCCTTATTAACAAACTCGGTTTAGGAATGGTTATTTAGGGTTTTTTTACCTTGAAAAGTATTGATTAAATAAAGTATCCATTTATTATTATTATTATTATTATTATTATTATTATTTTGGGCAAAAAAACTATTTAATCAGTTTGGGAAGTTTTGACTTCCCTTTGTTCCAAATTTTATTTTGTTCAAGTTCTAAGTGCCAATAGCCATTTTCTTGGCAGGCCAAATAACCACATTATAAATTTAACACAATTGAACTTTTAAAAACATTTCTCATTCTCCATCTTCCTTTAAAACAGCTTTTCTCAACCCATGGGTCGCAAGAATATAGGAAATGGATCACGTGGGTTTTCCCTTGCAGGCTGGCAGAGGGGTCTGGGGGCAAGGGGAGCGGTTTAGGCATGAGGGACATTGAGTCAGGACTGGTCACTGATGTTTACAAATGGTTCCTGATACAGAAAAGGTTGAGAACCACTGCTTAAAAAATTAAATTATAGGTGGAATTGAAAACATTTCCCATAAACTTCACTTATTAAGTGAAGGTTAAGTGAACAGCTGTTCTTACTGAAGCTGCTTCTGGGGCTACTAGGGGTGCTAGCAGATGCGACTGATGCTGACAGACATGACAGTTTGTCATGCAAGCAGCCACTGAAAGTGCTCTAAAGCCATGCATTGACAGAAGTGCATGGCTGCAGAGTGCTTTAAAAATTCCCAGTTGGGTGACAATCTGAACCCCAAAGTGAAATGCCTTCATTAACATCTGTCAGCACGACTGGGAGCAGGGTTTGGCTGATGCAAACCCTGCTCCATGCTCTGTCTTCAGAATGGGAGGGGAGAAGGGGGGGAGTGAGTTCAGTCTGGGGGTTCCCCAGAGTGTGGGAGGGGCTCCAGTTTCCCCCCACACACTCTAGGGTGGCTGAAAAAACCCCTAAACAGGCCTCCCTTCCCTGCCTTTCCTCCACCCCCATTCTGAAGACGGTGAACAGAGTAGAACTCGGATGATGCAGTCCAGCTCTGCTCGCACACTATTCAAAATGGGAGGGGGGAAAGAAGGGGGTTGAGCGCAGCCTGTGAGCTCCCCAGTCAGTGCTGGAGGGTGGGGCAGGTGGTTTGGAGCCCCCTAATGGGAGGGTTCCAGTCCATACCACCCCAGCACCACTACTGCAGTGCAGCTGGGATAACCCCAAACTGAACTTGCTCCCCTGCCTTTCCCACCTCCCATCCTGAGAGAGCACGGGAGCTTGGAGAGGGGAGTGGGGGACAGATGCTGCAAGCTCACAGCCTCTCTCCCCAAATCGGCTCCAAATGGGATCTGGATTATACACCCTTCTCATCTGACAGCGAATGTCTGTTGGATCAGGAGGGTCAGTCTAACTCCTCATGATGCTTTCTGTGAAGTATCATGAGTTAGACAGTGGAGCTGCACATATGTCAGTGCCCAAGGAATTTTCCTCGGCTATAAGAGGTTAATATAATCTTGAAAATGTTCTTGAAAAACTAATTAATTTAAATAAAAATTATTCCGCAACTGATTAGGAATACTGAAAATAGGCCAAATTTTAATGAGTTTTTTACAATGGAGTTTTTTCCTGTATACAGATGATAGCATTTCTGGTCTCTGAGATAGGATAGCAAGTATTGTATTTCAAATTCTAAAATGGTGGCTAGCTTCAGATAAAACTGTTAGACATGTCTCTTAAGTAGAAGAATATATCTGTTTATTTGCCTTTCCAAAAGCAGGAAAAGGTGACGCTTTGTCAGACAAATGGGGATGGTCTGTATCATAATAGTTAATTTTGCTATTCGTCTTTTCTCTTGTCCAGGGGTGGGCAATTATTTTGGGCAGAGGGCCACTTACTGAGTTTTGGCAAGCCATCGAGGGCCACATGACAGGCAGCCCAGGGCAGATTAATGTTAATTTTTCTAAATTTTTTTAGGGGCCCCATGGGCCGAATAGAATGGCCTGGTGGGCCACATCCGGCCTCCGGGCCGCATTTTGCCCACCCCTGCTCTAGTCAGTTCAGCTGCTGATTTTAAATCTTTCACCTTTACCAGGTAAGGTGTTTTTGTCTAGAGTGTGAAACAGCAGCCAATGATTACATCGTAGCAGCATTTTTATTTATTAACTGTACCTTTTAGGTATCCTTTGTGTCCAAAATGTGCATATATACCTATTATTGTGGTGGTGGTGGTTTATACTACCCTAAAAATGCCATACTGTATACAAATTTATTTTTTAAACTTAGAGTAGCTTTTTTTTGTACCATAAAAGTGTAATTTGAATACAAAATAACTGAAATTCTTTCTGTGGTCTCAGTTTGGCCCACCCAGCTTTGCTCATGCTGAATGATGTCTTACGGTATTGATTGTCCCACACTTCAGTGCAAGTTGGAGAACCCAAATTAGTTCTAAATGAACATACATTCTTATTTAGGATCTAGCTGTTGCTATATGCAAAACCTCAACATGATAAAGTTATATAGGTAGGTCGCCTTTAAAAATTAATGGAAAAATGAAGCCAAAAAATATTTTGGGCCATCTGCCAAGAAAACTTTGAAAGTTCTTGAAATGAAATATTTCAGTGAAGTGAACATGCATGCATATATATTTTTTAACTAAACCCATTGGAAAAAGAGCCAGAGGAGAAGTCTATAATCCCCATTAACAGCCATAATGTCCAAAGTGACTTTATGTGATATTTTTTGCGGGGGGAAGGGGGAAGTGCCTAACATGAAGCACTTCAGTCCTGATTTCTAAAAACACTCTTTATCTACAGTTCTCATTTGAAATCGGCTAAGTTGTGTGTGCTCAGTACCTCTCAAAAACAGACCCAATATATTTCAAATTAGGATTTCAGAAAGAAAGGCATCAAACCTTGCTCTTTGCTTTTTAGAATTTAAGTCTAGGTCCAGGGTGGGCAGTTATCTTGGCTGGAGAGCCACTTAAGGAGTTTTGGTGAGCTCTTGAGGGTCAGGGGGTATAATAGTGCTGACCCAGCCTTGGTCCCCCTGTCACAGCTGTTCACAGTGCCTTGTGTGGTGGCAGGTGGATGGCCCAGGGAGATGGCAATTTATCCTATCTGGTCCTGGGTCTATCCACTGTGTACCTGCCACCAGAGGCACTGGATGGAGTGGGCAGGCAGGGAATTCATGGAGACTGGCCCGGGGCCCCTGCAGGCAGGGCATTTTCAGCTAGGCAGATGGGATGGGGCCACAGGCAGGCAGAGTGGCATCTGGCAGCAGGTCAGGTAGGTAGGGCTGGGGCTGAGATTGCAGAGTGGTGAGAGCACAGGGCCGGGACAGAGCCGTGATTAACTCCCTGCATGTCCCTGTGACGGGTGTCAGTTGCATCGGAGATGTGTGGGGAGTGGATCAGGTTGGGCCTTGGGCCCTGGCCCCATGTTGTCACCATCCCATCCAACCAGCTGAGCATGTCCTGCCTGCAGGAGTCTCTCCATGGAGACCCTGCCTGCTGGCTGCATCTGGTGCCCCCCCCCCCCCCCCCCCTGCAGGGCAGATGGGCCTGGGGTGCCCAGGCAGCAGGGCTAGGATCTGGTGCCTGCTGCAGCAGGGCGCACACTTGCTCCCAGGCAGTAGTGGGGGCTGCCAGGAGTCTGGCTGCCCCAGACCTGCCTACTAGTTTCTGGCACACCTGAGTGTCATACATGGGGCTAGGGCAGGCTGTGCCAGGTGACCCAGCCCAGGAACAGTGGAACCAGCTGCATGCACCATGGCCAGAACTGCCTTTTTGTGCCTGGGCCTGGGGAGGCCAAGGGACCCACGGGCCAGATGGAATCGCATAGTGGGCTGGATTTTGTCCTCGTGCCATATTTTGCCCATTCCTCATCTAGGTGCTGCTTTGCACAAACATTTTGTGTAAAGTGCTGTTACTAAGAGAGGGAAGAAGACTGGGATATTAAGTATTCACACCTGAGACAAGTGTACAAGCATTCAAGTTGGATCAGGAGGGGGTAATCTTCCTTAAAGGTATGTGATCCAATTTCTTGTGGAATAGCCAGTTCTCTTCCATGGAAATGTCTTGAATGTCTGTACGCCTCTTTTTGTGCAAGAGAGAGGTTTTTCTCCTGGCCTATTCACTTTGAACTACCCTCTCACGGAACTGCCTATAAAATACCTGGCAATAACAGGGAAAATTGTTGCCTCAGAGGAATCTAGAAATTCTTACCAGTAAAAATGAAAATCTTTATATAGCTTAAGATTGCAAGACTCACTTGACACTTGTTCAGTTCTACATATCGGAACATGAGCTTTATTTAGTAAAAACAATAAACATTTTAACTATAAATACTTGGCATGCTAGCTGTAAAATAGCCTGGAACATGATTTTGTGCAGCTTCTTTATCTTTGACCTTTTTTGAAAGGGATAATGAAGAAAGGCACCTTGGTCTGGACATGTAAAACAAACATTTCCTGCCCCCACCTACTTCTACCCACCCCCAGCACAAACTAAATTATAGGTAGCATTTTCTATAGGAACTTAAAGTGGGAAGATTAGGATACAACTGTGTGTGAACACATCTGCACAGATACATGTATATATGTAATGACAGGAAGTCCTTTCTTCTTTAAAAAAGAAAAAAATGGAAGCAATACAATGAAAAGCTGTTAGCTACACAGTTATCTCATAGAGTCTTTCAGTACACCTTGTAAACTATTTTAGGTAACAAGTACTTTAAACTTTTGGCCAAACAGCAGTTTTCTCGTGATCATAACTTTTATGTGGGGGTCTCAAATAAGATATTTTTTTCATTTAATTGACTATATAACAGATAAAAGGAGGTGGGGGGGGAGGCAGGTAGTGGGGAAGAGTCAAGCAACCTTAATCCACAACCTGCCCCCATCACAAGCTGCCCTCAGCAATCTTCTTACCCTGCTGCTGCTTACCATCAGTTGTGGCTCTGGCCAGAGGCATGGAGACATGCTGGCTCCAAACCCTGACCAATGCTGTGGCAACAGTAGCTGTGGGGCAAGGGCCAGGACGAGCGTTGCCACCACTGCTGCTGGTGCTATTGCTAGGGCCTAGCAGGGGCTTGAGACATCATGTGCTCTGTGCCTGGGCCAGAACAGGACCGGAGCTGTGAATGAGGTGGGGAGGGCAGCAGTGCATTGCAGTGGGAGGGAGACAGGGGGCAGAGGCTGTGGCCCTGACTCTGACCCCAAGCCCAGGTTGTGCCAGAGCCATAGCAGCTGCCTGACTCCTGCTTTGTACTCAAATCCAAGATGAGGGGCTTTTCCTCATGTTAATTTGGGGCCAGTGGAGGTGGGGAAGGGGGAGAACCTCTTGGATTTATCCTAGAATCATACAAAAAATTAGGGTTGGAATGGACCTCAGAAGCCTTTTAAAAACCTTCAAACATGGAGATTCCACAGCCTCTCTAGGTAACCTGCTCGTGTACTTTATTGCACTCCTAGTGAGAATTTTTCTCCCAATATCTAACTTAAACTTTCCTTGCTGCAGCTTGAGACCATTGTTCCTTAGTTCTGTCATCTGCTGCCACAGAGAGCAGTCTAGCTCCATCCTCTTTGTAACCTTTCATGTAGTTGAAGGCTGCTATTAAATCTCTGCTCAGTCTTCTCTTCTCCAAGCTAAATAAACCCAGATTCCTCAGTCCCTCCTCGGAAGTCATGTGCCCCCTCACCATTTCTGTTGCCTTCCACTGGATTATTTCTAATTTTTCCACAACCTTTTCTGTAGTGGGAGCCCAAAACTGGAGACAGTACTCCAGATGCAGCCTCACCAGTGCCAAATAGAGGGAAGTAATTATTCCCCTCTATCTGCTGGTAATGCTGTTACTAATGCAGCCCAGTATGTTGTTAGCCTTCTTGGCAGCAAGAGCACAGTGTTGGCTCATATTCATCTTATTGTCCAGTGTAATCCCCAGGTCCTTTTTCTGCTGCTTAGCTAGTCAGCCCCCAGCCTGTACCAGTGTGTGGGATTGTTTTGTCCCAAGTGCAGGACTTTGCACTTGTCCTCATAAGATTTCTTTTGGTCCAATCTTCCAATTTGGTTAGGTCTCTGAATCCTAGCTCTACCCTCCAGTGTACCTACTAATCCCCCCAGATTGGGAGTAAATACAATATATACTGCACATATTATAGCACTGATCCTCCAAATAATAGCTTTTCATAGTCTCAGTCTGAAGACTGAAGTTATTGTGGGGTGTTTGAAAGTTAAGAGAGCAGATGAATTTCAGGGAGAGATCTTTGTCAAAGATGAAAAGAACTTCAGAATGAAAGAGCTATTCATTCCCTTTCCCCAGATAGATTACTAAAAACTGGTTGACCATCACCTTAGCTTGTAAGTACTCCATGTGGTTGTCAAAGTTTGTGATTTTTAAAACATAGCATTTTTCCATGGGATTTAAGTGCCACCACTATTTTCAGTTGTGGAAAGTATTTGGTGCGTTTTTCCAGTGACTCATAGCAAACTTGGTGTCCTCTTCATGTTGAGAAATTGGAAGGTTACCATAGTGCCACGTTTTCATATCTGTCAGCAATTAATTTAAAATGGTATGTTGGCTTACAAGTATCATACATACAGCAATTTTTTTTCTTCCAGGAGCTTGAATATTGGCAATATATCTGTAAGCCTAGAAATTCTGATGGACAACAAAAATCTTCCCCAACATTTTAAAGCCTATTTTAGCTTATTGCTAACATGGAGTACTTTCCATATAATGTGAGAATAGGTTTTTAGACTTTGTTTATAGTGGTTTAATGGGGAAAAAACAGAAATATCAAGAAGTCTATTCATATTGTACTTTTGGAATAGCTATTTAACTATTTAAGGTATGTTTTCAAGAGGCCGCTAGGAAAAAATGTAATAGGAATGCAGGAAGAAATAATCTGTGTAATTAATGGCTACAAATAATTTTTTCATTTTAGATTCCTGCCAAATGTCTCCAAACCTAGATATGTTGAAAGAGAAAGAAAATAAAGGATTTTTTAGCTTTTTTCAGCGAAGCAAGAAGAAACGTGAACAAGTAAGTTACCATTTTCTTTATCTACAAGAGCAAAATTTCTAAATAGTCTCAGAATAATCAACATTTTGATTTGGAAATTCACAGTGTACGTGTGTTTCCTTTACCTAGACTGCCAGTGCCCCAGCAACTCCACTGATGAGCAAACAGAGACCTGCTTTTATCACACGATCTAGCACTGTTGTCAAGCAGTATGATTCAAACACATTGCCATCTGAAATGCCGAAGAAAAGAAGAGCACCCTTACCACCAATGCCTGCTTCTCAAAGTGTCCCACAGGATCTTGCGCATAGCCAGGGCAGACCAACATTTTCTATTATGAAATCTAGCAGTGTTGATGAAAGTGATCAGGTTAGTTAAATCTTTTTTCATTTTTTACCCTGGTGGGTTTCACTGATTTTGATGTAATAGAACAGAAATAGTTGCCTCCTTCTTACAGGTAAGTCCAGTGCTTTAATGAAATACTTTAGACTAAGTGTATACGTTGAGGTATATATGTGTATACATTGACTTCCATATCTACTGGAAGAATATCATCCTCATACTGAGGGACTACAGATCACTCACACTCAGAGTTTAATTTTAAGGTATGTATCAAAATTGATGTACTTTCAAAAACATTGTAGTAATACATTAAGGGTACAAGTTCAGAAGTTCCTTTTTTTAAATGATAAGTATATTTAAAATTATAAATTATAATAGCTAGCTTGCATAGATCTTCCAAACACTATCTTTGACCATGCATCTAGTTTCATAAACTTTAAAAATGGCCGCTCTTCTGTAACGAGTGTTGCATTTTAAGACATTTGAGGTCTAAATCAAAGTTCCGGTCTCAGTTTGCTCTACTGGCTTAATAGCTTATGAACTTGATTTAAATGGGGGAGTGTAATGGCTTACATTAATATGTCTAGTAACTGGACAGGCTTTTGACATTTCATGCCATTAGTAAATTGCTTTACTTAGCCCTTTTATAATAAATGCAGTTTAATCTGTTGCTGGAAAAAATGTTTTTCTAAACAGCCTTCTGATCTTTGTGTTTAATAGACACAAGTGAGAATCTTGGGAAACAAATTTAACTTCCTGGAAACACAAGGATGTCAAACTGAAGTTTTATTGTAAAAGGGTCTTCTTGTAGAGTAATGCATAAAGTTATAAGAGGATATCAGGTCAAAATTATCTGTACATCTCTGTGTACACTAAACTTGTTAAAAAAATTATTTGGAGATGACTAATGCATTGGGTAGTGTCTTGGTAAAACACAGGCTGCACCAGTTGTGAATTCTAGTTGACAATCAAGGCTAAAATGTGTCGTACATTTGAAATGCAGCAAATGCGTATTTCATAATCTGCCTTGAATCTGGAATTTATAAACATTTTTTAATAAATTATATAACTGGCAGGTTAGGAAGATGAAATGCAGTACTAAATTAAAAATAAGCTTGAGAAATTTGTTGGATGGTGGGCTTAAACAAAAATTCTTGAATCATTTGTCTTATCCTTTACATATTACTTTTCATTTCTGTTGTCACAGACAACCACAAGAGAGCACTGTTTAACAGAAGTTTTGAATGGTTTCTTGTGCCCAGAGAATCTTTGTCACTTGAAAAAAAAAGTTTGGGATTTTTGTTTGTTCTTTTATTTTGTAATGGCCACAAAAAATGTCTGAGAATTATTCTTGTCTTTTTTTTTTTTTATTGAAAATTTTTTTACCAGGTATTAACCTTCAAATATTGTAGTAATAAATGTGGGTATTTTACAATGTCTTAACAGTAATGTGATTATTGTTGAGTAAAAAATATCCCAGCATAAAGTTTCTGCTGCTTGGATTTACCATTTTGTAGTTCTGAGTTTCTCATTTGCCATATGGTCAATGAAGACAACCAGTAAGGAAAGTATAAAAAGTTCAAGTAGATGAGGTACCCTGCATCCTTCTCTACTTCTCTCTGGTTGGAAATTCTAAAAGCAAATGCCATAAAATATCCTTTTGCCATTACTCCCTCCTGATTCCATAGCCTTCTGACCTATCAGGTACTCCAAAACTAGCCATGTGAGTATTATACTTGCCTGCCCCTATTATAAATATTTGTCAAAGTATTTTTATGTTCATTTCCATTAATAATCATAATAAATATACTAATGAATAAATTTACTTCACACTGGTAACGTAGTTTGATGCTGATACTTATTCTTCTGAAGCAGTGGTTCTCAACCTTGGTAGGCTTAAGGCACCTGTTGGAAAATGCCAAATCTTATATTTTGCCCTTTTTATTACAAAAAAAGGGACATTCTTCTGTTGCTGAGTACTCAAGGGTCACTACAGTCACACTATGGATTCCTGTGTGAAAACTCTGGGTTTATCTTTAGAATCATGTTAACATACTAATGTTGGTACTGGATTTATGATACCTTGTTCTGGACAGACCCAAACTCTCAGACCGACCATGACCTCTCCATTTGATAATAGGCAAATTTTATTGATGTATAGTTATAGCAGATAAGAATAATGCAGGCAAGGCAAACAAAATAACCTCCCTAATTTTATATTTACCAGTCCTAAGGCTGTCACAGAGGGAAGGTACATCTGGCCAGTATACGAGCTTCCACTCCGTGGTTCTCTCTTGAATGTCAGATATCAGTAGCCTGGAGGTCGAGGACTGAGGCTCAACTCCCACCCTCCTGGTGGGGTGGGTGAGATGGGCTGGTAGTATGCCCTCTGTCCATGGTGGCCTTGAGTGCCCTCCTTGGGGACCCTTTTGCTGTTCTAAAATCCTTCCTTTTGTATCCTTTTTCCCCTCTGACTCTTCATTCCCAGGCATCATTGACTGGTTTGCCTGTGGTAGTCATACTGTCCATGTTCTGTCCTATTAGTGTATTCCTTTGTTCCAACAAACCCATCACATGCACACATCTTACTGTGGTTATTTACCAGTCTCCTAATTTGGTTCATCCACCAAAGCCAGAAATCCCAAAGGCTCTACAGTTGGGCACTGTGACCTGGCACCAATACTGAAGAGTCCCTTATCTCCATTTGGGTAAACTGTTCATGTTATGGAACAGTGTGGTATATGTCTTCAATTTCCCAGTCTGTGTGTCTGCTGGCTTCAGACACAGTGGGCCTTGAAGGAAACTGTCACGAACAGGCTTTTAGAAATCAGTTAACTCTTGCCATTTCCCCTGGATCATTGTTTTAATGCAATATATACTTTGCCTACCAGCCAATTCCCAAAAGCAAACCTCTAAATATCATTTTCTAGCCATCAGCTAACAGTGCTAACACTGTATGGTACCCCATGAGACCTAGAAAGGATCCTAAGGCACCCCAGGGTGCTATAGCACCCTGGTTGAGAATCACTATCCTAAAGTCAAGCAAAAATGACTCTGTATGACTAATCAAAATCCACTAATAGGTGTAGGATTTGGAATGAGACTGAATACTGTTACAAGCAATATCTGTGAAGAACTGAGAAATTTGATGGGGGAAATTTGAGAGGCTGGAAGTTTGTCTTTGAAGGTTTTCCATTCTAAACTAAGCAAAGATAGCAAGACAATATTTGTAGTTCATCTCTGTTGTGCAGGATGGCTGGTTTGTTCAGTTAAATGCCCATTCTGTAAATGAGAGTAGACATCCTTTAGGGCCTAATCAGTTATGTGAGCAATAGGGATTTACAACAAAATCAAAACTGTATTTCTAAGCCTCAGATTCAGCCCTGAAGTAGAAAACGTTCTTACTATGTACAAAAGGGGCTTCTTTAAAAGCTGTAGACTTGATCTTCGGTAATTTCTCTGTATTATGTTAATAGTTATAGGATACAGTTGATAAATGAGACAACAGTGCACTCAATACTGTGGAAATCTATAATAGAAACAGTCCCTGCCCCAAAGAGTCTACTCAGGACAGTTATGCAGATTCCATGCATATCATCTTTGCTAAGTGCAGTAGTGTTTCATAAATGATAGTGGACCAAACTTTGACTCATTTACTTTAGTGTAAATATTGAGTAACTTTGCTGGGGACCATGATTTATACCAGTTCTACATAGTCATGAATGAGACCAGAATTGGTACATTACTCACAACAGTGAAAGGGATACCATTTATAGATGCCTTGCTTCTTCAATTCAGTTTTAATTCCATAAATAATAATTCTGACTTTTCAGGATCCAGTTAGGCTAGCCCACTAGCCTGATTTGTATAGCTAACTAGTCCTGTTTTGTCATTTAATGTCGTATCCCACTGCATTAACTTCTGAAAGCATGATACAATGGTTTTGCTACAAAATTCCATTTAGGAATTACTTGTAGTCGTCTACTTCTCTAGTGGGAATGTGTACCTGCAAGGCTTCCATACTGCTTTTAAGGACACTTACATTCTCTAGGTTTCCCCTCAGTTTATATAGCAACTGGAACATACCTTGCATCCCAGTTATGGTTCAGGGTGACCTTCAGTTTCTGCTTTACCCTGGAGAAAGGTGGACAAATCGCTCTTTGTTGTAGGGTCCACAAAGAAGACAAAGTGAAATGTCACTTTTCCCCAGATAAACTGTTTGCTCAGTTTTGATAGAGACAAGCATTTGCCCATGCCAAAGTGGTAACGTCAGACAACAGCAAAATGAGCCAACTTTAAGGGAACAGTGTTCTCTCTGTTGTCTGTCTTTAAATTCTCAGTGTATTGTAGTCCAGTTTCTCACACTATGAAAAAAGACTTTAATGCCTGCCTCCCACAGCTTTTCCAAGCTTCTCTGACAGCAGTAGCTGGAAACAAAAAAGAAACTTTTTTTTCTCTCAGAGACTGGACTATTGTGTTGCTTTTATTTTACCTATTTCAGAGTGGCATAACATTTCTTTAACAATGATTCTTGGTACTTTACGCTGGGGAGAAAATTACAAGAGATGTCCTTTCACGCTCATGTTATGCTATTGGGTACTGGGATTTATTCACCACTTGTAGGACACAAGAGGTGACTAGTTTAGCTTTAATATTTAATGTTTACACAACAGCCTTTTTTTGTTAAATCAGGATGGAAACAAAAGGGTTAGTTTCAAACATCAGGCCCCTATACTGTTAGTGTCAGTTTAACTGTAAAGCAGAATGGCTGTCGGCAGGAGTAGGTTTAGAACTGGCAATTGCAAGCCTTCTTTATTTGCTAATATATTTAAAGTTTAAGCAATGACCCCCCTACCCAAATCTAGATCTGGCCCAGGATGCAAAGCAAGTTTGACACCACTTAAGTTGAGTAAGGAGACTGATGAAGTGTAAAAATCGAAGCCCGGGACACATGACAGTTCCAGCATATGATGGTGGCCCATGCATCAGCTGAGGATGCTGCAGTGATGATGACAGGCAAAGTATCT